AGAATTGACTTGGCTATAGAAGGCTTTTTTTCTGGTTCCATACAAAACAAAGCATTATTTTTTCTAAATCTTGAAAGTATGATGATGGTATTTTAATGGGGATTGCACTGAATCTGTAGATTCACTACTTTGTATAAGCTCAAAATACCAATGATACCTGCACTGTCATCAGCAACTACCACAACTCTTCCACAATTCAGTTCAAATATCTCACTCTGCTATCATCACCTATATTTCTAGCTTACTTCCTCTATTTGGCACTCTGTCTCTAATACTTCTTTGATACTCACAATCTGTTGACCCTATCCTTTCCTCATGTACATCTTTTCCTCTTAACATATTTTGGATTGCATGATCCACTGTTATGAACACTTCCTTGCATACACCCTCAATCCCTGGTCTTTAATCTCCTTTACCTTACTGGCTAGGCAAACCCCAATTCTAGTTAAAATCAATTTTCTGTTTTCTCTGTGACTGGGCAACTGAATATACCTGGAAAAAACACACAACCATTCTGATTGCTCTTACTTCAAATTCATGACCACCAACTTCAAGAGAGCCCTTACTGCTGCCTGGCAATTTATCTTCATTTATTTTCCTATTCTTCTCAATGACTATTTTATACCTTTGCCTCTCTCTTGAAGCTTCCAACACTTCTTCCTGTTCTCACTCTCAAATGCTAACCTTATTTCCTAAAAAAAAAAAAAAAGAAGAAGCAATCAGATGACAACTTTTATAAGCTCTCACCTCAATTATCTACTTACTTCTATCTGTGCCCCCAAATTCTGCCTTCCCTCCTATTTCTTTTTTCTCTTTTTTTGAGGCAGAGTCTCACTTTGTCACCCCCAGTAGAGTGCCGTGGCATCACAGCTCACAGCAACCTCAAACTCTTGGGCTCAAGTAATTTTCTTGCTTCAGCCTCCCAAGTAGCTAGGACTACAGGTGCCTGCCACAATGCCCGGCTATTTTTAGAGAGGAAGTCTCACTCTGGCTCAGGCTGGTCTTTAATTCGTGAGCTAAGGTGATCCATTCACCTTAGCTTCTTACCAGAGAGCTAGGATCACAGGTGTAAGCCACCATCCTAACTTGTTCCTTCTTGTTTCTTGTTTCTTGTTGTTGAGACAGAACCTCAAGCTGCTGCCCTAGGTAGAGTGCTATAACATCACTGCTCACAGCAACCTCTAACTTCTAGGCTTAAGTGATTCTCCTGCCTCAGCCTCCCAAGTAGCTGGGACTACAGGTGCATGCCACAACACTCGGCTATTTTTTGGTTGTAGTTTTTATTGTTGTTTGTCAGGCTTGGGCTGGATTTGAACCTGCCAGCTCTGGTGTATGTGGCTGGCACCTTAGCCACTTTGAGCTACAGGCACCAAGCTTCCCTCCTGTTTCAATAGATAAACTAAGGTAACCCCTCTAGATGTGCTCTAGACCTTATGCCTTTTTAAAGGATACTGCTTCAAAAATTCCTTCGAACATTATTATTTTGTGATCATTCCTCATTTATATCATTCTTACCAGCATCTGTGATATAAATTCTGCCATCAAAAAAAAAAAGTGCCCCTCCTTGGCCTTCTATGCCAGACCATGAATATTTAAGTATTTGAAAAGAAAGTTTAAGATTAAGGCTATCACTCCTACAAGATTCTAGGACTCATTAAAAAGCTACTATAATTAACAGAGTGTAACAGAATAGAGAACCCAGACAGGGACTCCTGAATATATGAGAAGAGGGCACTGCAGATTGGAGAGAAAAGGAAATACTATTCAATACACAGTGCTGAAAATGTTAGCCATAAAAAGAAAAGTTTGATGTAGTTCACTACAATAAAATCAAGAAGGTCTATTCATTAAAAGTATCAGAAGGAATTTGAATGGACAAGTCATAAACTTGGAGAAGATACTTACAAGGCTCATGACCATGAATGTTAGTTAGAAACCATAACATATAAAGAAGCCCTATAAATCAAGAAGGCAAAAAAATGTAGTAGAAAAATAAGCAAAAACCAAAAACAAGCACTGCACACGGGTGGAAATACAGGTGGTCAATAAATATGAAAAGCTCAACATTATCATTAGTTGTAAATTAATACTATAGTAGATCATTTTACATATATTGGCAAAAATTAAAAAGCCTAACTATGCCAAGTTAATCACAGGGAATTCTTATATACTACTGGTGGGAGTGTAAATTGGTCCAACTACGTTGAAAAATAATTTCGCATTATCCTATAAAGTTAAAAACCATAAAGTTATGACTCAGTATTTTCAGTTCTAGTTATACACCCTAAAGAAACTCTTGTACATGTGTTCTAGGATATAAGCAGGCAACACAGTTCAAAACTGCAAAAATTTGGACACAACTCAAGTGCTCATCGATAAGGAAATGGGATAAAGTAAGTTGTAGTATACTCACAAAACTGACTATTACACAGGAGTGAAGAAGGAATAACACATTGACTGCCACACCAGAATAGAGGTATTTTCCTTGGAGCCACTGTGTTTTATTAGGTCAAGAAACATGGAGTGACAAACTACTATTACCTATAGTTACATGAAGGAATCCTGGAAACATAGCAGTGAGTAAATGTCATCATTTTTAAAAAGTTCAAAATTAAACAATATATTAAGTACATACTTATATGTTAGATATGGGCTACGATTTTTAAAATGGAAGAAAATAATAAATATAAGTTAGTGTTCATCTCTGGGTAGGAAGAAGATGGGATTAGGAACGAACACGTGAATAGACACAAGTTCATCTTATGTTCTAGTTTTTGGGTTGACTGGGGGGCCACTGGTATCCATTACAATTCAAGGTTTCACAACTTTATATTATATATACTCTTTTGTATAAAATAAAACTATTATTAAAAACAGGTTAAAAATAAAAGGGTTTCAGGCTCTTGCCTCCCACTTTGGCTCTTAATAGCAGTGTGACCCTGGGCCAATTCCTTTAGCCTCAGTTGCTCCCACTAAAAAATGGAAACAATACCTACACCTACTCCTCAGGGTTTGTGTGAAGATTAAACGAGATACACACACAGCATTTAGAACATTATGTGGCACACAGGCTGCTAGGGCTACCTAGTAGCAATTACTATTTTATAAGGTACTTTCAAGATATTCAAGTAGAAATGGCTTTATCAGTAGTTAGAAAACTGAATCTATAATGCATGAGATAGAAAGTAGAAAGTCATCAGTAATAAACGATAGTGGAAACCTTGTGAGTAGATATGATGGACACAGAAGTTTTCACAGTAGAAATGTGCCAAGTCAAACTGAAGAAAACCTCTAGAAAGAGACTGAGAAGGCATAGGGAAAGGAAGCAGAAGAGACCGGTGACTTAGAGGAAAAGTCAGGCGGAGAAAATGTCCAATGGTATTAAATGTTACGTAAGTAAAGACAAAGATCAAAGGAGACACTTAGATTTGGCAATGAGAGAATCATGAGCGATCTAAGAGCAATTTCAATTAACTGGTCAAAGAAGAAACAAAAGTACAGTGGTTTAAGTCATGACTTGGAGGTAGGGAAATAGAGATGGGGATAAAAGATAATTCCTTTAAAGACATTTAAAGATAAAGAGAATGGTAAGAACGGTAGAATATATGATTTATAAGGAAGGTATCTTCAAGATTAAGAGACATCTTACAGGCAGAGGGGAAGGAACCAGAAGGAGACACTGGTATAGGAAAGAAAGGGGACGAGTGATTGCATATGCCTTGGAGAAAGGAGGAGATGATATTCTGGACCTTGGCAACAGAAAGGTGTACGTTAGTGCTTCTCAAACTTTATTGTACATATGAATTAACTGGAGATATAGTTCGAATGCAGATTCTGATTCAGAATCTGTGCTCTGGGGTGGCCCTGAGATCCTGCAGTTCTAACAAGCTCCCAGGAGATATTGATGCTACCTGACCACTGACCACACTGTGAGGAGTAAGGGTGTAGAACAACTCTTCTTCTGTCACAATTAGTTAAGGGAAGAGAAATTGTGGGAGTTTTCCTATTTGCATATGAAGCCACCTAGGAAATAAAGTGAGCCAAGTATTCAAGCCCTCAAATGACTGGTTGCAAGTACACTTCCCTGGGAAGGCTGTAGGCAAAGATGACGAAAGAGGACTACTGACTGGAAGAGGAGGATGGACAAAGGACAGAGTGAAGCTGAATTGGGTGAGAAGAATAACAATTATTAGTAGAATCATAATACTTTGGGAATAATCATAGATAATTGGGATGAAGGAGGAAGGAGTTGAGAAATAAACAAGACTGACATGAACAGGCAAAAACACAGCTGAAATAAGATAATAATACATTTCTTGGGTCATTATTTTGAAATGATTTGACACTGTCCCACTAGTTTTCATGAAGAAAAAGCTCATGGAAAATGCCTAGGGGCAAAATTTGCCTTAGCTGACACTTTTACAAAGGTATACTCACCTGTGACTTTGAAGTTAACAGAGGTTCACAAAATTTAAGAGTCAAAGTGGACGCATTTATCCCTATAGGTAATATAAATATCAATATGCAAATATTGCTTGAATATTTAAATGTTTAAAGTCCCCATGGGTACATTAAATAACTATTGGGAAAACAGCAGTGGTATATTCTATTTTGAATATACCATTGATTCTATGATAAAAGAAATACAACTGTCAAATTTTGAGGTGGAAATTATGAGAAATTTCATAATTTCAGTATTTCATAGTGTACTTTAAAAAGACTCCAAAATTAGTTTAAAAAAGAATTAACCTGTTCACAGAGTTGCAAATGGACAGGAAGGTATAATTCCCATTTAGCTCTCCTTTGTTCTCGGACTCTCATTCACTCACTTATTAAGGAGTGGTGAGTGGATGTGTATAATATGCAGAGATTACTTCTACACCTTTACTAACACCGTCTTTACTAATGTTTACTAATGCTGAGATACGGACACTAAATCTGAAGCAAAATGTCCTCTAAGTTAATAGATGGCAGGAAAAAAATGACATACACATCCTTACCCCTTCACTGGTTTTCTGCAAGTCTGAAGTTATGTTTCTCGTGTCATTACCAGCATCTCCACCCTCAGAGCTGCTTTTGTTTTCTTCTTCTTTGCAGTCTTTGTCATCTTCATCGCCTGGAGATTTCCGGGACTGTTTAGAGGATTTCTAAATGTTTAGATAAGTTAAATATTATAGTCAAAAGCAGAAATCCAAATGCACAAGTAAGAGATGCTGAAGCAACTGACTTGTACCTAGTCTCTGTGGGTTGACAGGCTATAAAGATGCAACACACAGTGTGTCAAACTGAGCTGGGTGACACTGGACAAGCCATTTCACCTTAGTGGGCCTGTTGAACCAGATGGAAAGAAAACAGAAGTGGACCAAATTACCTCTTAGTTCTTTCCAGCAATGTGGTATTAAAAGCAGAAAATGAAGATTCAAGTAGTACCCAGAATGCTGTCAATGAATAAATATAGCCAGATGAAGGCCAGCTTAAGAAACCTATGAGACTAGAGGGCACCCCCAAGGTTATCTTGTTCTTCCTAACCATTTTACAAATGAAGGTTCAGAGAAATGAGGTGAATTGTCCAAGATAGATAGTAGACTCATGTTGGAACACTTTTGTTGAAGCTGTATGGCTAACGGTGTACACAGAATCATCTTGACAAAACTTTAGTATCACTGTGTGATATAAAATATTTTAACTTTTAAAATTATGAACAGCTATTTAAGAAACCAAGGCTATACTGATGAACTAGTCCTTTTTCTGATTTTCTCATATGGGAAATCAAGATGAACTCTAAAGATAAAAATACATTTATAATTTGCAGCAAGAATTGGTTAGTAGAGTAGCATTAAAATGATAAAAAGTTAGCTACACTTGTAAACCTTTAAGGAACTAAAATGTAGAATTTTTCTACATTTCCTGTCATTTCTTTTAGAAATGTTAAGAGAAAGTTCAAGCACACTGTAAATAAGAGGCAAGGTAGGGTGGTGCCTGTGGCTGAAAGAAGTAGGGTGCGGGCCCTATATACTGGAGGTGGTGGGTTCAAACCTGGCCCTGGCTAAAAACTGCAAAAAAAAAAACAAAAACAAAAACAAAAAAAAAACAGGTAAGGGAAAACTGATTCAGCCAAACTTTTGGCCTTCCAGAAATAATTTGCAAACTAAAGTGTCTTCAGACTATCAGTTTTTAAAAATGTGCCTTCCAAAGAGACAACAACTTCTAGCTATGTGATAGAATATGTAATTAAATTATTTCTATTCAATATAACAAAAACTCTTATACCAACAAGTCCAAAATGTCAGTTCAAAATGTAACGATTTTAACTTTTTACATGAAAGCAAAATAGGGGTTTAGGGTTAAAGAGCTAAAATTAGCATAAAAGTTAAAATTAAGAATAATAAGAGTAAAAGTGAAATACTTTGTATTCCTAATAAATATAGTCTAATTATCAAAATAATGAAATACTTTGTATTCCTAATATAGACCTAATAAATAAAGTCTAATTATCAAAATGCAGTAATTGTTTTATGCAGTAAATTTCAAATAACCATCCTTGATCTGCAGTTCCTATAGATAAGAATATACAATTCCCTAAAATTTATAATGCAACCCACAGGTTGAGAACCGCTGTACTATATGAAAGTTCAGCAGGCAATCATAAACTAAAAAAATCAATTCAAGTGGGTGTTTAAATGAAGTCCAAAATGCTAAAAGAAATTCAGCTTAAAAAACTGCAATGGGACCTAATTATTTTGTTGTCATTTGCAAACTTTATCCCTATCCATGGCAATTACATTTTTCTTTAGGTATATCAGAAAGAATGGTTCATTCACACAATTTTACTTACACGCCAGTTAGGTAGATTTTACAGACTGCCAAAATAAGCTGCTGATAGTCTGGTAAACTCTTAGTATTTGTTTTTAAGTATATCTAGCCACTAAATACCAGAATCTAAATGGAAGTAATTTATACAGCTATTCAGTCATGCAACAGACCAATTATAGTGGAATCTGTACCAAGCTTTGGTCTTCAAGTATCCATTTATCTTGCTTTCAGTTTCTAAATGGTGAAGAATTTTCATAATCTCATAGTTTTTTGAATTGCATTTCTGAAGTATCCAAACTTTCAACTGTAAATCTTGTTACTTCTCTGCTTATTTGTTTTCCAATTGAATACTTTATTAATATGGTGGTCATCTTTGTAACATGCGTACAAGTGTGCGTACGCATGCACCCCCCCCCCACATGCTCAGAATGATCTGCCTGAGGAAATATTAAATACGCCAAAAGAGAAAATGAAAAATAAAAAAAATTTCTATAGGTTTTTATAATTGTAGGCAATTTATGTCCACATCATTTACAAAGCTATTGCGAATCTGTCCAAGTAAGCAAAGTTTGAAGGGGGGGGTGAAATCTCAGGAAAAATTCAACAGTGGCATAGCAGAGCTCTCAATCAGAGTAAGCTGACATGATGTGGAATTTGCAGTGTATTTTTTCTTTGCAAAATATGTGGAGAAATTTATCATTGGGCAGAAAATAAGAGAAGGTGGTTTAAAATCTTCAATTATTGTTACATTTTGGAATAAAATTCAATTCCATACCATGGCCTATCAGTCTGCATTATTTGTTGCCCTTTGCCTGCATCTCCCCCAGATCGTGATCTTCTAGCCACACCTTTCAATTCGGGCATGGGGCTTTGCTGTCACACATGGCGTCTGCTCCCAAACCTTTAGGTCTCAGCATAAACTTGACCTTTTTAGAAAGGCCTGGCCACCTAGCCAATTTAGATTTAGACCAATCTAAAATAGGTCCAGTCCCCTTACTCTCTCAATCCCTGCTCACATTCATTTCCCTCATAGCCCTCTCACAATTCATGTTTATTTATTATTTACTTGATTACTGTGTGCTACCTCCATCCCCTACAGCACTGTAATTTACATTGGGGCACAAATGGAGTAGATTTTGCATATCACTGTATATGTAAGTCTAGTGTCTGGCAAAGACTAAGTGATTAGGCAACACAAGAATCAAATGAAGAGTCAAAGCACATTTTTTGAAGCAGAATAGTAACAATCTATCTTTACACAGTCATGTGGCACATAACAACATTTTGGTCAGTGATGGACTGCATATGTTAACGACGATTCCACCACAGAGCCTAGGTGTATAGTAGGCTATACCATGTAGGTCGTTTATACTCTATGATGTTCATCCAATAATGAATGTGCCAAATGATTCACGTGTTTCTCCAAACGTATTCCTGTCATCAAGTGACATGTGACTATATTTACATATATAGTATATAGATACACAATTGTATGTATATCTTATATTCCTAAATTCTTCAGAGCTCAACTAGAGGTTATTGTAGAATCACAGCACTCACACATTCTTAACAAAGAACAACTTTCCTCTGACTAAGGTGGTATTACAGGGCCAAATCAACCCTAAAGAGTCAATAGCCAGATTCCCCAAATATTAAAGGCAGAGCCTCTACAGAGTGTATTTCTTTTCTTCTCTCTCTCTCTTTTTTTTTTGAGACAGAGTCTCACTCTGCTATCCTGAGAGAGTGCCATAGTATCATAGCCCACAGCAACTTCAAACTTTCTTGGGCTTGGGCAATCCTTTTGCCTCAGCCTCCTGAGTAGGTGGGATTATAGGCGTGCACTACTACGCCTTGCTAGTTTTTTCTTTCTTTTTATTTTTAGTAGAAATGGAGTCTTGCTCTTGCTCAGGCTCATCTCCAAGTCCTGACTTCAAGTAATCTACCTGCCTTGGCCTCCCAGAGTGCTAAATTATAGGAAGAGCCCACTGTGCCCCTGGTCAGAATCTAGTACATTTCTATGTGCCCAGTAAACAAACTAAAACTAACCTAAAAACATTTTTAAGGAATATGCACGTAATATTACTATCAATGGGAAGTTTCTCAGTAACCTTTGAAGTGTATGACTTTTTCCGTTTTGAGCCGGCTTTCTCATTCTTTCTTTTGCCTTTTCCATCTTCTTCTACTCTGTCACCTTCTTCCTCACTGCTTGCATCTGCAGTATTTCCACCTTCTCCCTCTGTTTCTGAAGAGCTCTGTTGCTGAATTGCCTAAGAAATAATAAAATATTAGCTAATTACATTTTTGAAAAAATAGCAATGAACACAGATTACAAAAATACCCTCTATTTTAATTTTAAAGGTTTCAGGTTTACTCTTAAAATTTTCAAAACAAAGGGCTGTCAAATTCAATTTTCTAGTGGCCACTGGATTTTAGCCCTACTAAATAAGAGTTACATTTAATCCCAAATGCTACTGGAGTCCAAACAAATTCTGACTTCAAGTAACTACAAGTAGGAAGGATTTCTAAGAAAGATATGAAGAAAATTTAAAACCAAAGAAATGAGATTCAGGAAGTATCAATGAAGCAAACTATTACCTGGTATCCAGTGAACTTTACTCCTGGGTTATTTTCTATTTCCCACAATCCTTCATTAAATCCTTTCCGTTTGTTTGACTTTCCAAACTTGTCTTTGTATTCCTTATATGGAAAGAGGTCTTTGGGACCTAAAAATGCACTGTAGAGATATATTAGAGATAGAACTGATATGCTGATCTTCAAATGTAAGCATTTTAATCATTAGTATCAGCAAAGGTCTCAGAACATATTAAACTTACAGTACATATAAACCTCTGAATCAGGCAAATATCACAAGTTGTTTTCAGATACATATTTTCAAGAGAGAAAAAATGAATAGCTTGGCATATGAATTATGCCAGCACCCTTGAATTATGCTACTTTGATTTGACTTTTGAATTACCAATATTTGGTACTGAAACTGATTTTTAGTTATACAAGTAGAATTAAAGATGGCTACTTTGACCACTTTAATCATTATCTTAAACTACAATTTATCTATATAAATATTACCACAGGGTAAGGGTTTTGTAAGATTTTCAGTTAAATATAAATATTGGAATAAAAAGAGATTTTAACTGTCTGTATAGTAGTCACCCCTTATCCGTGGTTTCACTTTTATTTGGTTTGTTACTCATAGTCAACTGTGGTCAAAAAATATTCAACAGAAAATTTCAGAAATAAACAATTCATAAATTTTGAATCTCCCGCTGTTCTAAATAGCATGGTGAATCTCTTGTGGTCCCATCTGGGCTATGAATCATACCTCTGTCTAGCATATCCACACTCTTTACGCTACCTGGCTTAGGAGCAGTTCCTATTATCAGATGAAAAAACATAGCAAATATGGGGCTCAGTACTGTTTATGGTTTTAGGTATCCCCTAGAGGTTTTGGAACATATCCCTTATAGATAAGGAGGACTATTGTGCCATGTTAATGTATTTATTCACTATTATTTATAGAAATTGAAAAATCAGTAACGTTTAATGAGGCACTAAGTAAAAAGAAAAAATCAGAAGTGGCAAAAAAGAATCTTATACAATTTAAAACTCTTATCCTAAATTAATCATAACCAAGAAAAAAAAAGAGTTAAAATAAATACTTGGGATGGCTAATAGATCTTATTAACCTGGTAAATGGCACTGTGGAGGCCCAAATTCTGGCTGACATTCCTGAAGTTTATACTTCAAACTAAGAGTCATTCAATAAATATTGATTGGACATTTATATTGTAGGCTAGGGATTCTGCAGGGAAGAAAGAGATAAACATTTAAGGCCCTTTATAGGATACATTCTAGGACCAAAGTTGGGGAGTGTGGACAATAAAAAGAGAAATAAGTAAAACATATAAATGTGTGCTAAAAAAAAATAAAAAACAGAGAAGAATAGGAAGACCTAGTGGTGCATTTTACAATTTTAGATATATAGATCAAGGGAGGCCTCACCAGAAAGGCAACATCTAAGTAAAGAACGAAAGGAGGTGAAGGAACAGAACAGGTTGAAGGAAGAATAAATGCAAAGAAATGGTACAATGTCTTGCATGCTTGAGAAACAGAAAGAGACTAGTGTGAGTGGAGTGAGATGAGTGAGGATGACCATATAAAATGAGGCCAGAAAGAAAACAGGGCAGGGGCACAAATTATGTAGGGCCTTGGAGGCCACTATAAAGGCTAAGTAAAGATGGGAAACCAATAAGGGCTTTGAGAAGACAAATGATAATTTATGTGTTGATAGGATCACTTTGGCTGCTGTGCTGAAAATAGACTGAAGGGTAGGATACTATGGTGGAAGCAGGGAGACTAATTCTAAGGCTACTGAAGTAATGGTGGTAAGTTAGACAGGGCTGTCAGTATGGTAGGAAGTGGCCAGATCCTGATCTCATTCTCAAGAAAGAGCTATTGATACGCTGGATATAGAATGTGAAAGGATGAAGGTAAGGATATTACCAAAGCTTTTTAGGAGGAAACAATTGGGGGGTAAAAAGCTCAGTTTTGAATATTAAGCTTAAAATCCTGGTTAGAAATCCAAGTGAAGATATCAAGTAGGCAGCCAGAGCGACGATTCAGGAGTTCAGGGGAAAGGGATAAGCTGGAGATAAAATTTTGGAAATTATCAGCTTTTAGACAACACATTAAGTTTACTCTTGATCTTTGTAAATTCCATTTTTTGACCAGGTTTCAGCCTTGGTCCCTCATATAGTCTAGCTGATCAAAAATTTCAAATTAATAAAAGCACCGGGGAAGTGTTTGACTCCAGGGCTGTTTAAGAATCACCAAACCTCCTTATTGTGAAGTTCACCTTTAATTGTTCAGCCAGTATGATTCCACCTCAGTGAATCAAGAAATAGTTCACTGGACATTTTAATAAAAAATATGTCAAAGTCTTGCTTGACAAACTGAACATAAGAAAGAAATGTGTCTGAGGAAATTTCACATCTAGAGAAATTTGTCATGAATTAATAGACTCTGACTTTTGACCTTTTCCAGCTTTTAACTCTAAGTATAGGAAATGATTTGTGAAATAAGCTGCCTGCTACTGACATCAGCTACTGATGCTAATCAGAGCTTGCCTATACTTCAATAATGCCAGAGGATCAAGGCCAATGGTTATTATTTTTGGATGAAAAAGTTAATAATTTCTGACCTTCCTTATTTTTATCTTGTTCTTATTTTGGATAGCATTTTTGGATGTATGAGATGCATATCTTCCTGCTACAGAGATCAGAAAGCATTCTCTTACGAATACATGATATGTTTTTATTATCATTCCTCAGAAATGACTTTGTTTGTTTATTGTCTTTTTTCTTCATAACATGTTGTAGAAAGATTCCAGGAATGACTTCAACTGACAAATGGCCTAGTCAGTTGTTGCTAGAAAGAGGAACCCTGAATGAGCTAATCTAAAGCAAATTATTTTAGATAGAATATTCTTTTTTTCTGGATTAGAGATAATTTTATAAACCAAATCTCCTCTCAATCAGCCAAGTTTGCTGTATGTCTTATGATAAGACAGAAAATAAAACTGTTCAAAGTTACATGTGCTAAGGATGATTTTTTTTCCTGACCAAGGATTCCTTAAAAATTGTGCACACTAGGCTTGGTGCCTGTAGCTCAGCGATTAGGGCACACGTCACATACACTGGAGCTGGCGGGTTCGAATCCAGCTCAGGCCTGCCATACAACAATGATAACTAGAACCAAAAAATAGCCAGGCATTGTGGCAGGTGCCTGTAGTCCCAGCTACTTGGGAGGCTGAGGCAAGAGAATTGCTTAAGCTCAAGAGTTTGAGGTTGCTGTTAGCTGTGATGCCATGGTACTTTACCCAGGGTGACATAGTGAGACTCTGTCTCACACACACACACACACACACACGCAAAAAAGTGTACACTAAAACTAGTGGGGCTATATTATATGGAGCATAAAAACTTGGGGCTCCAGTCACCTACCTGCCTGAAAATTAGGACAAATTCAAAGCCATCTTCTGAGAAAAACACTGGACCTACATGGAGTACTCCTTTAGCTGAACTTGAACACAGCCTTTTTAAGTTCATCACCTTCCACATACTTTTCTCAGCTTGACTTTCATTGATTGATAATTTTAATTAATCATTAGCTATTTCTAAAACACCCACCATGGCCAGGCACTATGTGTATAAACAGGAGTAAGCAATACTGACATGATCTCTGCCTCTCACAGAGAGGGTAAACATTAGTACTTGGCAGGCAAGTATAATCTCAGGTTCAGGGACACTGAACACTTAGTAAAAGTTCAGCAGAATCAATGTTATGGCACGTTTTTGGAAGTTCATTCTCTTCCTGATACTTTAAATAATCTCCCTGTAGATCAGTGGTTCTCAACCTGTGGGTCACGACTCCTTTGGACTGTATTAAAGGTTCACGGCATTAGGAAGGTTGAGAACCACTGCTCTAGATGATCAAACCAGAAAAAAAAAAATCACACATGGACTCCAATATAACCAGTGACTAGATCACTTGGAGATAGGTCCTAAAGAGAAAGCAAAACAACAGTACACACAAAAGATTAGGAAGGAATGAGGAAAACACAAAAATATGTATCACAAAGTTCTATGCACTTATATAGTAAAACATTTATTTATAAGCTTCCCAGCAACCTCTCTAAGGAGGAAAACATGACTACTTACATAGTTCACAGTGCCTAATACATAAAAATAATACAAAAGGGTGGCACCTGTGGCTCAAAGGAGTAGGGTGCTGGCCCCATATGCCAGAGGAGGAGGGTTCAAACCCAGCCCCAGTCAAAAACTACAAAAAAAAAAAGAAAAGAAAACTAACTTTCTCAAAGAGACACACATATTTATCAAGTAAAGAAATAAATCTGTCTTGAAGAGCCCTCCCCTGGCTCTCCTTCCAGACAAGAATGAGGAAGACATAAGAGTGGCAGAGACAGCAAGGTAAGAAAGAGTTCATGCCAGGCTTTGCTCCTGTTCAGAGGAATACATAGTATAGGGGATGACCCTGAATTTGAAGCCTTACAAGATTTTATGATTGTTTAGCTTGTCCCTACATTTGCAATTTCTATTCTATGTGTTTTCTTGTCGTAAATAACCATATACATTCTTAGCTTGTCAAAGACTGCCAATTGCCCCTAGTATCCACTCTTGTATTTCTTTCATTAATGGATTATTCCTATTCCTCCCCTATTTTTTTTTTTTTTTTAGACAGAGTCTTATTATGTCGTCCTTGGTAGACTGCTGTGGCATCACAGCTCACAGCAATCTCCAACTCTTGGGCTTAAGCGATTCTTTTGCCTCAGCCTCCCTAGTAGCTGGGACTACAGGCCTGGCTATATTTTGGTGGGGTTGTCATTGTTTAGCTGGCCTGGGCCAGGTTCAAACCCGCCAGCCTATATGAGGCCGGCATCCCATTGAGCTATAGGCACTGCCCCCTCCCAATGTTTAAAATAAAGTACAGAGTCACCCAGCCAGACTGCTGTTTCCTATCTTTTCCTATAGCTTCACGTGGTCACATGACCAAGTTCTTGCCACTAGAATGACACACAGTAAGTACATTAAGTACACTTAAGCCATTAATAGGTTTTTGGAAATTGTTAACTTTAACCAAAACCACACTGAATGAATGATATTATTTAAGGACCTGCTGTCTTTGGTTTCTTACTATATGCAACTTCTTTACAAGGAATTACTTCCTCACTTTACTCTTTCCTCCTTCCCACAGTCTGGAAGATGCACATGTCCAGCTAAGTTTTGTTTTGTTTTTTTTTTTAATAAGCAGACAAGGGCAACCCCGAGAAATGACAGGACAAGACAGAAGAAACTTGAGTCCTTAGAACAGTCTACCCACCATGATCTATCTGCCTATTTGTAGATTATTTCAAAAGAAAGAAATAAACTGCTATATTATTTGGAATATTTTATTTTTCTATTAGTTTATTATAGCTCTGTAGTCTGTATGCTAACCAAAATAGTTAGAAAACTTTGGGTGGCGTCCGTAGCTCACTGAGGCTGGTACATTCGAACCCAGCCTAGGCCAGCTAAAAACAACAATGACAAGTGCAACAACAACAAAAATAGCGGGGCATTGTGGTGGGCACCTGTAGTCACAGCTACTTGGGAGGCTCAGGCAAGAGAATCACTTAAGCCCAAGAGCTTGAGGTTGCTGTGAGCTGTGATGCCATGGTACTCTACCCAGGATGACAGTTTGAGACTCTAGTCTCAAAAAAAGAAAACCTTGGGTGGCGCTTGTGGCTCAGTGAGTAGGGCACTGGCCCCATATATGGAGGGTAGCAGGTTCAAACCTGGCCCTGGACAAACTGCAACAAAAAATAGCCGGGCGTTGTGGCGGGCGCCTGTAGTCCCAGAGGTTGCTGTGAGCTGTGATGCCACAGCACTCTACCAAGGGTGACAAAGTGAGACTTTGTCTATAAAAAAAAAATGGTATATTTCTCTCAGGGTCCAACAAGATGAAAGAGTCTGAGAAAACATAACTTTGTTTTGTGAAATATAAATGGAAAAATTTCTCTGGAAAGAAAATATACAAGAGCTACAAAAGAAATTACTGGGAGTAGAATGAGAACCACTCAAGGACTTAAAAGTGTCCTAAAGGGGTTTGGCACCTGTAGCACAGTGGTTACAGTGCCAGCCATATACACCAAAGTTGGCGGGTTTGAACTCAGCCCTGGCCAGCTAAAACAACGACAACTGTAACAAAAAAATAGCCAGGCGTCACAGCTACTTGGGAGGCTGAGGCAAGAGAATCACTTGAGCCCAAGAGTTTGAGGCTACTGTGAGCTGTAACGCCATGGCTATCTACCAAGGGTGACATAGTGGGACTCTGTCTAAAAAAAATAAAAAACATGTCCTAAAGGAGACTTTTGGATATGGACCAACATTTATTTAAGAAGAAATAGAATATTTCTATCATAGAGTCTGCCTTCCAGGAAATCTACACTGCATGTTACCACTGTATGTTATTTAATGTTTATAATATTTTACATAGAAAATATATTTCATTATCCTTGTGCTTGGACATAAAAATTAAAAAACAAATGAATAAAAGAAAGAAGAAACAGAAATGATATTCAAAAATAAAAATACACTTTTAGCAATAAAGATGTCTATGAGGAAAAATATTCACATTAAGAGAAATACAGTATTAAGCTTGGTAATTTTTATATACATGCAACTGATAATAATGATTTTAACAAAACATAAGATCATCTATAAACAATGTAGTCTAGCAGAATCTATTAGAGCTGTTGAAACTTTTCTTTGCTAACTTACGTTTCATGGGTGCCAAAAAAGAAGATGGGATACTTGTTTGCTGGAGGCTTCACAGCTCCCTCTGGGAGTTCATCAATCTATTAAAAGATAAATGTAGTTATTAATTGGTTACTATAAACACAACTAAATATTGTTCTGATAATTTACTGCTACTTTCAAAATAAAATTAATCAAAATCCTAATAGTTCTTCTTTTCTTGAACCTTATAAAATGATTCTGAAGGTCATATTTGGCTCACCACATGGAAGTTAACACTGCGAAATGGTTATAGCTATTACAGTAATTCATAAGCAGGAGCCTAAACTACTCAAGGATCATTTCCTTTGATCCAACAGAACTACTCCTGGGACTCTGTACTAGTGAAATATTTTAAAGAGTAACAAAAAAGAAATAAGAAGATATACCTTTGGGGGTAACAGTTAATATATATACATCCCTAGAAACATAAACATTGCCAGGTAGGACAATTATAAAAAATTACCTTGATGAAGTATTATTTAGTCATTAAAAGACATCTCTTACCTGGAATACTACAAGTCTCTCTCCCTACTCATTTAAACTAGAATTTGCTTTTAAAATGCACAATTATGTTACTTCCTGGCTTCAAATCTTTCTATAGCTTCTCACTGTTTATAGCATTCCTAACTATGCCTGTTAATCACTTCTGTAGCTTTTAAAGAATAAATATATTTCAGCCCTTCCAATTCTCACTTATAGAAAGAGGTTGAGAATCTCTAATAGGGTAAAGCCCAAATTCCTCAGAATGTATATATATATTTATTTAATTTATATACACACACATTATTCCTTAGAATATTTTCAGAAATGGTCCTTTTCCCATCTAAACTCCTGTCATTTTTCTCTCTGCAGGCCATGATTTAGCAGTGTGGAACTTCACAGAGTTGGTTATATGCGTGCTATTTTCTTTCATATAGTTTTCTCTGACACCTGAATTTTTCTTCATCTTTCAGAGACACATATTGTTCCATTATAAAAGTGAATATTTATTTACAATAAGAAAATAAACCAAGAAAATTGCCAGGACTTTTCTCCAGAGACCTCTTTAGGCAAGTTCCCGGAAATGCTTATACAGAAATGCTTTCTGGTTTTAACTTAGTTTCCTTTCCACCTCAGACACTAAAACTCCCAGCATACACAGGGGTCCAGCAAGTTAGGAACCATGAAATTTAATCATTATTAGTTTCAAGGTAAAATCTACCTCCAATGGCCATGTCACTCTTTGGAAGCCAAACCTGGTGTCACTTACTGGCTGCATGACCTTGGGATAGTCACAAAACCAGTTTCTTCATCTCTTCACATTTAGCTAGTGACACCCATCTTATAGGGTTGCTGTGATCATTAAATGAAGCATGGTTTAGAATCCCTGGGTTATAGTAGGCCCTCAACAGATGATAGGTAGTTTTGTTTCTGCTCTTACTAGCTATCGGAGCCCCTACAGAAAGAGCTTTCTTCCCTATGCAGCTTACAAAAAGCCCTCTCCTGCCCACTTCCTGTTGACTGACTTCTCTTTGACTTTCTCCTACTGCTCCAGCTTGCTCTGTGCAAACACATTTAAAAAAAATCACCTCTTATGGGGAAGGCCTACCAGCGTGCCCTTGCAGAACTTCTTGTTTCATTGCTATAACTACTGAATTCTAAATATGCTTCTATTGTTGTATTTATTACCTAGTACCACTCTATTTTCAATTTATTCTCCTTTACTAGACTATGAATTTTGAATGTAGTAGCCATGTTTATCCCTAGTACAATTTCTAGTACATGCAGTGAATCTTAATCTTTGCTTTCATAATGATAACATTTTATTCACTCAAAAATATGTCAGTATGGAAAATAGTTCTATGACATAATGTGAAGGAAAAAAGCCACTTATGTAGAATGTAATAGTATTTGCATACTATGAATTGGACAAAAGCTTGATAACTAGGATCTACAGAGAACTCACATTAATCAACATAAAAAGAGCCAATAATCACTTATATCACTGGGCACGAGATATGAATAGAACTTTCTCTAAAGAAGACAGACAAATGGATAATTTCAATTTGTAAGAAAACAAGTTCTTCATATCAAAAGATAATTACCTTTCTATAACCATAAAGTTTCTGGCATTTCTTTGAAGTTGTCATTTAATCATAACCCTAAAGAGAGATCATTTCACTGGGAAGTTAAAAATTTTGTTTCAAGATATTTCTGATAATGTATAAGCAAAATTTCTGTCTGAATATGATAGTGCAATTGGTACTGAACTAAATCTCTGTTTGAATCCTTAGAACTGGTCAAAATATAGTGTATGAGCCAAGTGTTTTCAGGCATTGGACAATAGGTGGCACAAGATTATAATTCCCAGGAAAAGGGAAACTCCCAACAATAGGCCTATAACTTTCCTATAACTTTCCCAGCTCTCACTGTGGCACGGTGAGCTAGATTCCTAGCAGAGCTGATAGAGCTGAGGAAGCAGAATTAGACACTGAAATAGCAGAACTGACTGGAATCTATGGGGATAGGACTCTGGAAAGATGAAGTACATCTGGGAGTTCTGTAAGTCTAAATGGAGAGTTCCTAGAGATTATGACCAGGGGCTGGGCACCCTTCTCAGAGGCATACTAAAGACCAGTTGTTATGGGAATGAGAACAAAACAGGGGCATGAGAAATCAATGGACGCTGGAAGTTGAACTAGAGTGGGGAAATCTTTTAATCACCTCTTTAATACCTCAGGCATCTAGCTGAGATACAAGTAAGTTTTGCCCTAAGAGTATAAATTAGATTAAGATCTAATTTACATGTGTCCTAACAGAGACTAATACCAATCCCTGATGAGAATTACAAGGAAGATTTTAAACACTGAGCAAGTTAGTTGAGTTTGGGAAATACCTTGGACTTCCCCTAGATTTGCCCTTAAAAAGTACGAAGACGGCTCGGCGCCTATAGCTCAACCGGCTAAGGCGCCAGCCATGTACACCTAAGGTGGCGGGTTCGAATCCCCAGCCCGGACCCGCCAAACAGCAATGACGGCTGCAACCAAAAAACAGCCGGGCGTTGTGGCGGGCGCCTGTGGTCCCAGCTACTTGGGAGGCGGAGGCAGGAGACTCGCTTGAGCCCAGGAGTTGGAGGTTGCTGTGAGCTGTAATGCCATGGCACTCTACCCAGGGGGATAGCTTGAGGCTCTGTCTCAAAAAAAAAAAAAAAAAAAAAGTACGAAGACAAGTTATACAAATAGAAGGCTATCAGTCAATAAGTGAACTGCCTACTATAATAAAAACTACACAACAAAGGATTTAAAAAATTCAGATTCTTGATAATTCATCATTAACAATGTTCAAACTTAATAAATATTACAAGATAAAAAAGAGGAAAATGTGACCTACGATTAAGAAATAGTCAAGAGAAAATGACTTGAAGATGACAGGATGTTGGATTTAGCAGACAAAGACTTCAAAGCAGCTCTATATGGACTTAATGTGCGGACACATACAGAATCTGGGCAAGGAAACAAAACAATAAAAAAAAAACCAATATGGGAAGTTCAGAACTGAAAAGCACAGTAACTGAAAAATTCACTAGATAGGTTTGATGGCAAAAGAATAAGTCAATGAACCTGAAGATGACAGAAATTATACTATCTGAAGAACACAGTAAATATCAGATAAACAGGGCATCAAGAATTTGTGAGATGATATTAAATAATCTAACATAATATGTAATAGGAGTCCCACAAACAGTTGACATGAGGCAGAAAATATATTTGAATATTAGCCAAGAATTCCCCAAATTTGATGAAAAACATCAATTTACATGTCAAGAATCAGCAAATCTCAATCAGAATAAACTCAACGAAAACCATACCTAGGTGCATCATAGTCAAAACACTAAAACCTAAAAAGATAAAGGGAAAATTGTGAAAAAAATTCTATATAGTCAATCAATGATAAAACTCTGACTGCTTATCAGAAATAATGGAGACCAGAAGAAACAAAATACCCTTTCAATGCAGAACTCTATATCAACAACTATATTCTATATTAAAAAGGAGCATGGGGAGTAATGTCAGTAGCAAGATGGAGGAACAGAAGGACTCCCCCACCTCCTGTCCAGCATCACTTACTCCACAAAAATACAACTAGAAATAATTCAAAGACAAGGATAGCATCTTGAATTAACCACAGCTCAGCGGAAAAGCAGAGAAACCCTACAGGTCTACAGAATTAAGAAAAGGTATAACCAGCTAAATATAGTCACCCTCCAAGCTGGCATGATGCTACTCACAGATAATTTCCCTAGATCTAAGGTTTACAAGGTCTAAGGAGGGTAGTGGAGGTGGGTGTTTGATCTCCTGACTGGCCTGAATCTATTTATGGAAAGCCCACCCTGGTCCCATCTCATAGAACCATTAGAAGTCTCAGTGATAAGCACATGTACCTTGGTGGCTACTCTGTGCTATGATCAAGAGGGATGTCCCACTGAAGAGAGAGGCCAGTGCCACAGTGTTACACTGTGTACAATTCATGGGAATAGCTGAACCTCAGACCAGATTTTCCACAAAGCCCAGGTGCTTGCATAGAGCCTTTCCCTAGCCTGGGAACAACTAAAAAGTCAGGATATAAGTACCAATGCCTACTTGAGTCTTCCCAACTAGGAAACAACAGCAGACAGAAATTTAATTCTGGAACACCATTTAAAGTTGCAGTGTTCACTGCAAATTTTTCTCAGAAACAATGACAGGGGGGTCATGAGTTAGTTCCAGTGCAGTGTTTTAGTTCTGGGGTTCACTGTAAGTTCTCCCCCAAATGAGAAGAAATAACAGAGTAGTGTTAAGTTCTGATACTAAGTAGTAAAGACCTAACACTATCAAAGAATATCTGCAAGAACTGGGCAAGGTGATTGTCTCCTTAAATGAGCACTCATTACATAAAGATGCAAGGATTGTGAAAACTCAGGGAAATCTGACACCACCAAAATAAACTTCCAAAGTTTCAGCAATGGAACAAGTAGTACTAAAGATCTATGAAATATTAGGTAGAGAATCCAGGATAATCCTCTTCGAAAAGTTCAGGAAAT